CTCTTCCTCCTTCTCCCTCTCCCTCTCCCTCTCCCTCTTCTCCCCATGGCGCCACCACACCCTAGCCTCGAGATGGGCTTCCGCCTGCGCATCATCCTCGACGTGGCCAACGCCTTCAACTATCTTCACCAGTTCCAGCCGTCCATTGTCCACGGTCGCTTCAAGACCCCCAACGTCCTGATCGGCAACTCGTGGCAAATCAAGATCTCCGGTTACGGCATGGACCGGATCTTCGGTCGGCCGGACTCCGTGTCGGTGGTGGACTACTGGGCCTCGCCGGAGGTCCTGCGCGGGTCCCCGGCCGATGTCAAGAGCGATGTCTTCTCCTTCGGCTTGATGATGTTCGAGGCGCTGACCATGAGCCAGGCCTTCATCGACCAGCGCAAGGACATCAAGTGGATCAATGATGTGGTGGAGAACAACCTCCGCCCGGTGATTCCCTCGACGCTGGCCCCCTTCGAGCGCCTGCTGACCGAGTGCTGGCACCGGGACCCGGAGCTTCGCCCCTCCTTCGTCCAGATTACTCGCAGCTTGCGGACCATCTGCGACCAGCAGGAGGCCCGGGCGCCGAATGGGCGCCGGGCCGTGGTCGACCGGCCGTCCTTCGGCGGGGACCTGTCCCCGGGGGCCGGACCCCTGGGGGCCTTCCCCGAGGCACGCACCAGTGCCGGTGGCCAGCTTTCCCATCAGCAGCACCCGCATGGCGGCCCGTCGCAGCGCCAGCGCCCGAGCCTGCCCGTGCCCCCGGGCCGGCAGTCTTCCCGCACCGGCGGTGGTGCCCATGGGCCGCGGTCCCCCTCGGCCGGGCCGCCCAGCCGCACGCCATCCTCCAGTGGCGGGGGGTCGGCCCTTCGCGATCCCCTGGCGGCCGGTTCTCGGGCCGATGCCGGGCCCGGTGCCCACGAGGCCGCCGGCCCGACAGCAGCCCACCATCCGAAGCGCTCCTCGCGCGATGACACCACCCGGTCCTCCCAGTCGGACATGCATCACACCCATGTAACCGGGGCCCACCTGTACCACCAGCTCCTGAGCCGCACCCGCTCGGCCAACCTCACCCGGACCAACAGCATGCCGAACATCTACCGGCCGGGTGGCGGGTCGGCCCTCTCCTCGCCGATCCCCTCGCCGGCGGTGCCCTCTTCGCCGGCCGAGCGCAGCCCGGCCCCATCGCCCTCCCCACCCCCGGAGGCCGCTTCCCTCGCTGCCGGCTCTTCAGACGCGACTCCGGTCCATGGGACGCGCTTTTCCGCGTACCTCGACTCGGATGATGCCCCCCCGGCGGCGGCGGTCTCGGCGGCGGCGGCGGCGGCGGGGCCGCCCTCCCGGCGCGCCGGCCACACCGCCGCCCACGCCGGCGAGGAGCAGGCCCACGCCGGCGGGGACAGCCCCGGGCTGTCTTCCCCCCCGGCTGCCAGTGTGTCCCCCCTGCTGGGGCACATGAATCCGGACTTTTCGCTGGAGGCTTCCATGCCCCCCCTGGCCGGCAGGTCGATCTCCTCCTCCTCCTCCTCCTCCTCTATCTCGGCCTCGGCCTCCCCCAGTCCTTGTGCAGCCACCGCCCCGCCGGCGGTGGGTTCCGTGGTCGCGAGCGCCGCCGAGCCGCCCGGCCAGCTGCCTGACCCGGCCGCGCCCGCCTCCGCCAGCCCCACCTCCACCACCGCCGGCGGTGGCCGCTCAGCAGCCCCCCGGATGGTGGTCAACACTGCCGCTCCCGCTGGCAGTGGGCTTGCCCTGCTGCAGGTGGCTGCCTCCGGGCAGAGTGCCGAGGCGGGCGAGGCGTCCCCCTCGCACGCGCCGGCCCCCAGCCCAGACATGCTGCTCGATGGCCCGGCGGCGTCTGAGGACCCGGTGCCGGGGGCGGCCCCGGCCGGCACTCCGTCGCCGACCGCCGCGGCGCCGGCGGCGGCGGCGGCGGTGGCCATGCCGGCCTCCGTGGCCGTGATCGCCCCGGCCAGTCCGCCGCCAGCCGCCCCGCTGGTCAAGACCGGGCCGACCGGCACCTCCTCCCTGCCGCCCCTCCCTCGGCCCGGGCCCGGGCCCGGGCCCGGGGCCATCGGGGTTCCCAGCATCGCGTCCTCGGGTGGTGGCCCCGCGCGCCGGGCCCTCTTTGCCGCCCGGCCGCACGTCGCCAGCACCCTCAGCCAGGTGAGCTTCCCATCGGACGAGAGCTCCTGCGAGAACCTCGGGGTCTATTCCTCGGACCTGCTGGCCTTCGACACGTCTCTCGAGGCGGAGGACCTTCTCCTGTCGTCGGGCTCGCCTCCCGAGGAGAAGGCGCCGGTCGCGGTCGAGTCGCCCGCCTCCCCGGTGGAGCTGGCCCAGGACTAGTGTGTCCGCGCCGCTCGACCATCTGCTTTCCCTTTGTTTCCCCGCCCTCCAGCCCTTCCTCCTTGTGTCCTTCCCCCCCCCCTTTCCCTCTTTCCTTTCCCCCCCCCCTCTCTCTCTCTCTCGTTTGCTTCCCTGCTGCGTGTGTAGACACATGCGCACATTGGCATCTGCGGCGCCGACGTGCGTTCGCGCGTGCCACAATATACTCCCCCTTTTCCCTTTCCCTCCACCCGGGGTCTGTTGTTCTCCTTGCTCCGCCCCTGTTCCGGGCGAGGGGGGGGGGGGGGGGCAAGGGGTTCATCCGGCGCAGGGCAGGGCCGAGCGGGTGCTCTCACATGCGAATCCCGCGAGGTGGAGCGGGCGGTCGGCAGGAAATACCCAGACAAGCCAAAAGGGCACACGGGCGGACACCGAGAGAGGGGCCACAGCTCCGGCCCGGGGGACGAAAAAGGTTGGCACCGACTACCAACGCATGCGCCGATGGTTGCGTCCTGCCCGGTGCCCGGTGCTCTCTCCAGCCCCAAGGGGCGTCCCCCTCGGGGCCTCTGCCTGTGAATATGTGGCCCCGCCCCCCGCCTTCCCCTGGATGCGACCGGCGCCCTGGTGCCGGTCCCGGGCCCGACACGCCCCGAAGCGAGTGGCCCACCGCGCCCCGGGGTGTGGGGCAGATCTCTCCCCGGCGCGGCCTTCCGGTTGCCACAGCGAAGAGCCCGCGTCCCCGGGCGACCGAGGATCCCGCGGCCAGCATCCGCCCTCCCCCCCGCCCCCTCTCGCCCTCCCCCTGCCCCTCTTTCTCTCCCCCTCCCTGTCTCTCTCTCTCTCTCTCTCTCTCCTTCTCCCTGTCTCCCTCCCTCTCCCGCTCCAGCCCCTTGCCGATGACCCCGCTCGAGGACGCGCCAGGTGGCGCGGCCCCTGCCGACACTTCGCCTGACGCCTCACCCCGAGCCTCGGCCAGCGCCTCGGCCACCACCGCGCCCGGGCCCGACCTGTTGTGCGAATACAACTGCAGCCGGCTGAACTCCGGCCCGGCTTGGGTGGAGTGGCTGCTGTCGGTGCCAGCCGGCCCGGGGGACCTGCTGGCCGGCCAGGCAAACAACCCCGGCAGCGACCATGCCCAATTCGACCTCTTCCCCTTTGGGTCCTCCTTTCCCAGCTACCCGGCCATCCTGCCCGTCCGATCGGCGGCCACCCGGCGCCTGAGCCGCTACCGCGGGGACTACGCCCTCGCACTGGTGCCCGCCGGGGGGGCCGAGGCCGGGTCGGGGACCTCGCCGCCGACCACCCCCGGCCTGCCGGCCCCGGGGCCGCGCTTCCGGCGTCTGGTGGCCCCGCCCGGGGTGTGGCTCGAGCGCTTCCTGGAGCTGGCCCGGGGCGATACCGGCAGCCGGTCGGTCGGCATCCCGGAGGACATCCGCGCCTTGGCTTGGTACTCGCTCAGTGGCTCCGGCAAGCGCCGGTCCCACTGGTATCGTGGCCGCCTGGCCGAGTTCCACACCGCCATGCGGGCAGCCCGCGCGGCGGGCCCGGACTTTGAGGCCGCCTTCCTCGAGGCCACCCGCACTCAAACCGAGCCGACGCTCTTCTCCGTGCGTACCCTGCGCCGCTCCCGCCCGCGCCCCCCTTCCCCCCTCCGCCGCTTCGCCCTCACTCACGGTGTATGTGTGTGTGTGTGTGTGTGTGCGCGCGCGCATGTACATGCGCATGAATGCCCCTTCGATGGTTCCCCTGCCGGCCTTGTTGCAGACGCTGCTTTCCACCCCGGCTCCCGGCGGGCGGGAGCTCGAGCAGGATGTCGAAGTGCCCGAATCCATCGATCGCGACATCCGGCGGATCCGCACCAATTCCTACTTCGATCGCCGCATCGGGTGCGTGCGCGCGCCTTCCCGCTCATCCTGCGCCCCCCCCCCCCCCCCCCCCCCCCCCCCCCCCCCCCCCCCCCCCCCCCCCCCCCCCCCCCCCCCCCCCCCCCCCCCCCCCCCCCCCCCCCCCCCCCCCCCCCCCCCCCCCCCCCCCCCCCCCCCCCCCCCCCCCCCCCACACCCCCCCCCCCCCACCCCCCCCCCCCCCCTCCCCCCCCCCCCCCCCTCCACCCCCCCCCCCCCCCCCCCCCCCCTGTGGCGCCCTCCTCTGGCCTTTCTCCTAACCGGTCCCTCACCACGCCCCCCGCGCGGCTGCATGCCCAAACCAGTGACAATCTGTCGGCCATCTCCCAGGTCCTTCAGGCCTACGCGCGCTATGACCGCTTCACCGGCTACTGTCAAGGTATGTCCCCCCTCCGTCTTTCCTCCTCCTCTCCGCACTTCCTTTCCTCCACACACACACACACACACACACACACACACGCGCATACACCTCGCTACCTCCCATTCGCGAGACCTGCTTCCTCCTCTTGTGCCCATGCTCACCTCGTTGACCGGGCCCTCCCGCCCCAGGCATGGTTTATCTCGCGTGCTTTTCATTCGCCGTCTTTGCCACCCCCAGCATCTTCGATTCGCTGGCCCCCCAGGGGTCCGGCCTGTCGACCAGCAGCTCGCTGGCCTCGCTGGACCGACTGAGCATTTCGGATCCCCCCGGCAGCCCCGGGCCATCGGACGCCGACCCGGCGGCCCTCTTCCGCCCGGTGTCCGAGAATGACCGCCTGTGCGAGCGAACCCTGTGGTTCTTCATCGGGCTCATGGACAACCTCGGGATAAAGCGCCTGTGCGTGTGTCGCGCAGCCAGGCAGCACTCCCCCTCCGAAGGGGGTCTTTCGCCGGCATTCAGCATGCTTCGCATTTCTCACACTATGCCCCCCCCCCCTCCCTCCCCCTCGACGCAGCTACGATCCCTCTTCGCCCGACATGCACAGCCTCCTCCTCCGGATAGACCTTCGCATCAGCAAGTCCATGCCGCAGCTTCATGCCCATTTTGTGCGTGCCCCTCGGACGTCCTCCAGACGCTTTCCCTTCATTCGCGCCTACTTACACTCCCCCTCCCCCCTCCGACACACACACACACACACACACATTATGAAGGTGGAGAATAGCATCATCTCGCTGCTGTACGCCCTGGAGTCCGTGCAAACGCTTTTCGTGTCGACCCTGTCGCCTCGTGCATGTGCCCGGGTGTGGGATCGGATTCTTTGCGAGTATGCCATCTCCGGCATTCTGTCCGGCATGCCGGCTGGGCAGTCACCGGCCGCCGGGTCCGGCGGCGTCTCGGCCGCCGGGGCCCAGCAGCGGCGCGCCTCGGCCCCGGTCCAGCGTGCGGCCAGCAGCCCCGGCCTCGGCGGCGGCGGCGGCCGGAATTCCACCAGCTCCTCGCCGCCGCCTCCCCGGCACGGGACCCCGGGCCCTTTGTTTGACCGGCCCACCCGCCGGCCGCGCACGGCCGTCACTCCGCCACTGCCCCCAACGGCGGCCCCCCACCTGGCGGCCGATTCTCCCTCCCCCTCGGACAGCCTGCTTCTTGGTCGCCAGTCGCTGGACATCCGCCCGCCCACCAGCGACCCGGGCTACTGCGAGGACACCCTGACGCCGCTCTTCTCCGAGGCCGAGCTCTCGGCCCGGGCCATCCGCGACGACTTGGAGGATGACCTGGCCCTGGAGGCCAACCGGTGCCTGCCGCCCGAGCGCATCGCCATGCGATGGATTGTCGATGTTGTCGAGGCCATTGTCTTCATTTTCAAGGGTGCGCCCCGGGCTCGCCCGTCCCCTCGCCCTGCTCCCTCATCGGGTCATGCTCACGTCGTACCCACGCACGCACGCACGCACGCACGCACGCACGCACGCACGCACCCCCATACAACCACACGATCATGTGTCTTCGCCCGCGCACGCAGACCAGCTTCAAAAAATGCAGATCGACGAGATCCGCGACTTCCTGCGTGCGGCCCTCACCGGTGACAGCCGCATGATCACCGACGCCCTGCTCGTGGGCGGGGTCATGCCCGATGGCACGCGCGTCATCCAGCAGGAGCAGGCCCTCCTCTTCCGGGCTATCCACCTCTTGCGGCAGGGGCGCCGGCGCCGGCGCCGGCGGGGCGGCATCTTCGGGCGCCTGCTCTTCGGCCATCCCACGGCGGAGGCGCAGGCGGCCGCGTCGCAGGCGGCCGCGGCCAGCCTGGTCGTCGGGCCGCCGGCCCCGGCGCTGCTGGCCGACAGCCGGTCTCACAGTGCCCCTGCCGGTGGGACCATGGGCACCGGCCCAGGCGCGTCCGCCGACGGGGCCAGCCTGCTGGATGACGGCGATGAATCTCTGCATGCGGATTTGCTGGCATACACCTTTGCCCTGGCTGCCGATGGGCCGGCCCCGGCCGGGGCCGACGGCGGCCCGGCCCCCCGGCAGGACCGCCCCGCTGGCGGTGGCCCCCTCGGCATGGTGGTCGATCGCCTCCTCCGGTCGCAGCAATCCCTGGCCAGCGTCGGGCCGGCGTCGATGGATGAGAGCCCATCCCCGGCCCAGCAGGCCGCCAGCTCGGAATCCTGCCGGATGATGTAGGCTCCCGGCGCGCCTCCCCCCCCCCCCCCCCGCCGCCGCCCTCGGCCCTGCCCGATGGATGGTCGGTCACCGTGGGGCATATGTGCACAGACAGTTGACGCCGTGCTCCTCCGCCCCCCCCTTCCCTCCCCGACCCCCCGTCCGTGTGCCCGCAATAGAAATGCATGAGTCTACACGCGCGGCGCCCAGGTCATGTGCCAAAAAAAAACCCGAGAAGAGGGGGGTTGGCCAGGAAGGGGCCTCAAGCTTGCGGCCGCCAGGGGCAAAGGGGAATGTGTTCATGTTTGCGGGGGAGGGAGAGAGACAAAGAGAGAGAGAGAGAGAGAGAGAGAAGATGTGAGGAAGAGGGACCTCGTTCGCCCCTGCCCTCCCTCGTTCCCCTGCCCCCTGGGCTGGAGGCCTCCTCGCATGAAGGGCAGGAACGGACAGGGCCCAGGGGGGGGGAGAGGGGGCAGCGAAGCACACGATGTCGGACGCATCGCAGCGCATGGCCCAGCCCTCAGAGGACCGTCAAAAGGGCGAAGGACGCGTAGAACAGGAAGATGGGGTAGAAAACCAGGACCAGCTGCTCGCGCAGGCCGTAGGCCTTGACGAAGAGCGACGACCCGGCGATGGTACACCAGCTCACCGTCAGCAGGGCCAGGAAGAGGGAAACACCACCCCTGTGCCGGAGGGAGGGGGACGGGGCACGTGTGTCAGCGGGCGGGAGGAGCAGCAGTCGGGGCAGCCGCCGGCACCTTGTCAACCGGCGGCGCACAGGGCGAAGAGGAACGCACTGCAAAGTTACCAGGGCCGTGATGAAGGAGAGCCCCACCATCGGCAGGAGCCCGTAGCCCAGGATGGAGGCCGTCTTGGAGACCGAAACGCTGGGGGGGCGGATTCCGCGCCGAGCCCGGCCGGCCAGTCCCACAGGAGGGCACGAACGGGCGCACCATGCGAAGGCGGCTTGCGCGTCAGAAGAAGCGAAGGAGGCGGATGGCCACGGAGGAGAGGAGGGGGGGGGGGCGCGCGCGCGCGGAAGCGGGAGGCGGCAGGAGGAAGGACAGGGACGCCACAGGGGAGGCACGGCCATCGGCCAACGCACGAGATGGTCCCCATGAGGTTGAAGAGCATGCACAGACCAAGACACCCGACGACCGCCACGCCGTAGATGTAGCTGAAGTGGACCTTGCCACTCTGTGTCGATGAGGTCAGTGACCCGGGGACAAAGGATGCCAGGAAGGGGGGAGTGGGGCAGGGGGAGCGACGGAGGGGCAAGCAGCGCAAGGGCCCGAGGGCGGGGCGACCGGAGAAGGCAGGGCCCCGAGACCCAGGACAAGGAAGAGGGCGAGGGAGGCACAAGCCCCAGGGACCCACGCACAAACAGCAAGAAGGCCCCGAGCAGGAGGCAGAAGAGCAGCGGCCCGGCCAGGTCGTCGCCATCCTCATCGGCATCGGCAGCAACTTCGGCCGAGCCACGCAGGGATGACAGCTGCTTCGAGGGGTTCAGGACATGGAGGGACTGCGGGATGTTGCATCGGACGAGGGGCAGGCCAGGAACCAGCCAAGTCAGTGGCAGGGCGCGCGCACAGGCACAAGCACAAGCACATGGGGCCCGGGCTTTTCCGCGGGCACGCACCTTGGACTTGATCCTTCCGAAGTTGATGCCGAGCTCTGCCGGGGACGCATTGCCAGGGGAGGCCCGGGGGGGGGGGGCCGAGCATGTCAGAGCCACAATCGCCATGAGAAGAGGGGAGGAGGATGGAAAAAAAAGAAAAAAGAAGAGGCGCGGCGCGGGGAAGGACAAGAAAGGCGGGGGCAGGTGAGGAGGGATCTCGGCCCGGGGCCTGGCCGGCAGGGCGCACCCTCCAGCAGCGGCGGCTCGCCCTCGAAGCCCCCGGTGCCGAAGGCCGCCGAGTAGGAGATGGTGATCGGCCCGGAGCCCGGGAGCTGGCCGCCAATGGCATCGCCGGAGAACATGGCCCCGGGATTTTGGCCGGAAGTGGACACCCGGCCGCCGATGTTGGTCGGGAAGCTGTACGCATGGCCGGCCGGCGCGTGCGCTGTTGGCAGCGATCCGCTGGACGCCGAGCCGATGGACCCCATCGCCGGGCCGGCCGGCATGCCGGGGACGCCGACGCCAAAGTGCCCGGCCGGGGCCTCTCCCCCGGGCGGCATCTCGAGCATCTCGAAGTTCGGGTGGAACCACGGCTCGCTGGCGGCCTGCGACGGATCGACGCCGGGCTGGGACATGGCGTTCTCGGAGGGGGGGAGGGGGGGGGGG